TTACCAGCCTAGGTTGTCAGAGAAGTTGATCCCTTCACTCATCTTTCCTCCAGCCACAGAGAGGGGCAGGGCCCCTATCACCCAGCCTCTCTCCTGGCCACAGCCTGGTGAGAGACACCCAGCCCCAGAGGTGCTGAGCCAGCTTAGATGACACTTTTAACGTTTCCAGCTGCCTCCCTACCAAGGTCTCAGGCCCAAGCCTCAGAGTTACGCCTGCACCTGAATGCACCTGGAACACGAGATTGGCACCTGCTCCACCTGGCGTGAGCTCTTGGGTTCCTGGAATATGTGGAGGCAGAGGGCATCTCCCAGAGAGGGGTTCAGGGTGCTGGGTCTCAGATCTGGTGGTGGCTTTGTGTTTCCTGGCCAGGGGACAGGAGAGCCTTGCAACCTGGGGCTTTGGGGAAATCCTCTGCAGTCAGGGACTGGGTGGGGATGAGGAGCTAGAAGCCTGTCCTGACTTGATGAGCACAAGAGCTCCCAGGAGGACTTGGTGGCACTGTCCTTGCAAGTGAGAGGGCCGGCTGATGGGCCATTCACCTTCTTTCTGGTGGCCAGGCGGCCCAGCAGGCTGCTGTTCTTCCCGTGGGCGTGGACCTGGCGCAGGTACCTGTAGGATGGGAAGAAATAGACTAACCTTCCAGGAACCACACCACACAAGTTACAGAGGAGGCCACACACCTTGTCTATTTAAGGAAGGAAGAGAGTGAGCCGCCATGGAGCAACCTCTCAGCCACCCACAAATGGGCTCTTGAGGCTCAAAACTAAGGAGAGAGACCCAGGGCATCACTGCAGCCGGTGGGGAGGACTTGGCTCCCCTGGGAGGGAACCACAGGGTGGAAGGTGCCACCTCCCACCAAACACAGCCAGGTGCTGCTGCTGACTGTGCCTTTCTGATGCATCACAGCACTGCCGTCCCGGGGGACCTTCCTATTGCCCTGGCACTGAGTCCTCCCTTCTTCACTCCGGGGTCCTGATGGGCACCACAATGACAGGCACTGCACGCCCCAGGCATGCCACAGAAGATGCCCCCCAGTCCCCACATCCCTGCCTATGGCAGGAGAGGATATAACCAAAGAGCCAGAGAGCCAAAGGGAATGAGCAGTTTTCTCGTGCGAGACATCCTCAGAGAACGCCTGGAGGTTTTAAGAAAATTTAGCAGCCTAAGGGTTGAGGGGTGGGGCAGCTCACACTTTCCTCCATGATCATCTAGATTGACGCTGCTCATCCTGTGCGGCTCTGAAGCGGGTGTCCCAGTGCAGATTCTCAAACACCTGAAAATACTCAGGGTGTGCCAGAGAGCCCCTGCCCTGGAAAACCCTTTCCTGCCCGAGCCCAGGCTGTGGCAGGGTGAGCTGGCTGGGACTGACCATCTGAGGCAGCTCTCTCTGCTGGAACGTGAATTCCAGGGGCTGATTGGAAATTCTTCTGCAGATGACAAGGGGCAGGATGCTGTCTGGAGGAATCATGTGACCCGGTGAGACCCTGGGAGGAGCTGGAAGCTGAAGATGCAGGTGTTTTGCAAGGCACAGTGCAGGAAGGGCATTCCCCATCTTCCAGCATAGGAGCAGCAATTGACAGTGCTCACCCGCCGGCCATCACCGCTGTCATACTGGGCAGCAGGCAGCAGGGAGCAGAGCAGGAGAGCCTGGGTGAGCACACGAAGGGTGAGGCTCCCATCCCAGGGTCTCCTCCGGCCCTGTGCCTGGTCACAGTATGAGGTTACATGCAGACAACAGGGGCCAGAACCTGAACACTGGCTCGTCCCACCCTGGGCCCGGCTCCTCTCCACAGGAAAACCCCACTACAGTGTTCAGCCCCCACCCCAGCACAGGCTAGCAGTTGCTGCCGGAAGGCAGACACCTGGAGACCAAGTGCACAGCATCAGGACCCTGTGACCTCCCAAAGGGCCGGGGGAAAGGAAATGGGAAGTCTGGGCTAAGATACAGCAAGTACACGTGAACAGAAAGAAGGGGTCAAAGAAAAGGCTGACGGCAAGTTAACAGAAAGAAAAATGGTGAACGATACGTGGTGCGGGCAGCCTCAT